AGGCGTGTGGCTTTGTTGTTGTTAGTGACTTATTCTGATATACTACAATACATCATACACCCACCCTGCCGGAAACCACAACAACCAAAAAGGAAAAAATTAATTAAACTTCAAAAAAATTTCAGAAAAATTTCAAACTTTGTATTCAGAATTTGTAGAAAAATTTCGAGTATGCAGTTTTGTAGCCCATAAAATAAGGTGAAAGTTTCAAATTTCTAAAAATAAGAGTTGATTTTTGAGTTTGAGTGAGTGTTTGTTCATTTTCTTTTTTTTTTTTAAGCAAACGCGCTGACTTTGTGCGTTAGAGATGGGTGATGTGCAAAAAATTTAAACTTTTACGGCTGCTGATTCTGCTGCTGCTGCTCACGGTGGGCAGGAAGCGAAGATAGGTTGCATAAAAATGTCGACAAAATCTGAAAGCAGGGTTGTATTTGTTGATATCTTAAGGTTAAGAATCCGCTTAAATTGAAATCCTAGCTGCTCCTGTTTTAAAGATATCCACATTTTATATACTTCTGATAGGATATATTTGCAAAAGAGGAAGGCGTACTTCTCGATAATTAGAGCATATTTATACGAAAAGAAATCTCATACAAATCTGTTCCCATTTTTTAACTCACTAGAACGGATCAAATCAATGGGAAACATTTTCATTTTTTCCTACCGAAAGAGTAACTGATCGAGATTTATTGGGCGCTACCGGTATACAACTTAGATAAAACACCACAATTACCTTTTTCTGTAGCGTGAACTTTCTCATTACAAACACTTTCAATATCGCAATATATGTATGTATGTATACAATATTGTATGCTATATAATACGGTAGTAATTTTTTATTAAAGGTTTGTTGCTATAAGCAAGTAGCGCAGGCAAGTCGCACTGCGCTTGTGCAAGAAATAAAAATGTAGTGTATATAAATTCAAAGCTTGTATGAGATTTATTTTGGTATTTATGTACTCTTCTGTCAGGAAATAATGACTATTGTACATCCAGAACACAAATGCGATCATAAAGAAAATCGCATGAAAGTATGCGCTTTGTGTGTAGGGCTGCCAGACGTCCCGGTTTTCCCGGTTTTAGACTATTTGTCCCGGTGTCCCGGTCCAACCTTAAAATGTCCCGGGTTTCATTTAAGTGTCCCGGTTTTCGATTTGATTGCACAAATTTTGCTTAAAAATGACTACGCTCAGAGAAAAAACGCGTTGTAATATTAAGAAAAATTTTATGAATTTACTGGGGGAAATAACGTATTGTAAACATGAATATTTTTTATTTGATTATCGCGTTGAAATGTTCGTACTTAAAAACAATACTTTCGTACCACGCACACGTGGTGTTGAATCAAACAGAACATTTGAGTTGGGTTGGTGCTCTTTCATATGCGATTTTTTTTTTTAATGTAGCACGTTTTGCATAAGCAATAGTTTATGATTAATATAAGTATGTACCTAAATACGTTAAAATGACATGCACAGAGTTTTACAATTATAGCAAAAGCCAGAAGTTTTGAAACAAGCTCACAGTAACGAAACAAATGACTGATATTTTAATGTTACCTTGTATTTATTTTTTTTTTTCGTGAAACCTAGATTACTTATAAGTACCGTGCCGTACAAAATTATTGGCTCGGAGACACTTTAATCTGATCACAATTTCTAATCAGATCTTTTAGAAAAATGTTTAAAATGTAGCTTTTGAGCCAATTAGTAAAGTGCAAGTCTGAAATTACCAGAAAATTTCGTTGATTTTTTGCAATTATTTATTTTTTGCTGACAGTGTCTTCCACATACAAAAAAATGTCGAACATACCAAATATATTGCCTCGTTCAAAGCCATGAGCAAAATCGTGAATACATGGTTTTCCGCAAAACAAGCGGATCTTAATAATTTTGATAAAAATCTTAACGAACTCCGCACAGATTTGAAAAGTACTGGAATTTCTCAAACTGTCAAAATCCATTTTATCCTTAAACATTTAAAGCAATCTATTT